TGTTTGTGGGCCTCGTAGCGCAGCCTGTAGCTAAGCTGGCAGCCAGTTCAGGTCAGCTCGTTGCCCTGGTAGCTGGGCAGGAGGCTCTCGTAGCTGGGCTGGCGGTTCTCGAAATTATGCTCCTGGATGTTGCAGTTTAGCTTGTCGCTCTGGTAGCTCTGCGGAAGACTCTAATAATTGTTCGTGGCCCGCGTAGCTCAAGTTGTGGCCTTCGTAGCTCAGCAAATAGCCCTCGTAGTTGAGCTGGTGGCTCTCGAGGGTCTGCGCGTGGCTCTTGCAATATAGCTCATCGCCCTGGTCTCTCTGCTGGTGGCTGTAGTACATGTTCCCGTGGTCCTCGTAGCTCGGTTCGTGGTCCTCGTAGCTCAGCTTGAAGCTCTTGTAGCTCTTCTGGTGGCTCTCGTAGCTCGGTTGCTGGGCCTTGACCCTCTTCTGGTGGCTCTCGTAGCTGCACCTGTGGTCCTCGTAGCTCAGCTTGTGGTACTCGGGAGTCTTCTGGTGGCCGTGGTAGCTCTGCTAGTGGTCGTAATAGTTTTGTGCCTTGCCCTCGAAGCTCAGTTTGTGACCGTCGTAGTTTTGCAAGTGGTCCTTTTTCCGTAAGAGGGTTTGTCGCATCCAATTGGCTCCCCTTCGGGCTGGTGTTTTCTCTTTCGGCGCCTCCCTCTATCATCAGGTGGCCTCGGCTTCGAAGAACCCGCCAGAATCGTCGTTAACTAAATCCCAATATTCTGCCTTCCGAATGTCGACGTTCTGGTCGCTGTTTTCCGGCGGTCGCTCTCCTCGTGCTCCACGTCGATTCCCCCCTCGTCCTCCTCATCGCACTCGTCGTCCTCCTTGTCGCTCTCCTCGACCTGTTCGCAATCTGGCGGCTCGGCAAAAAGTAGATCTGGTGCCTCCGGTAGCTGAGCTGGTGGTCCTCGTAGCTCTGCTTGTGGTTATCGCAGCTCGGCTGGTGGCCCGCGTGGTGCAGCTGGTGATCCTCGTTGCACTGCCTGTGGCCCTCGTAGCTGGACTGGTAGCCCTCGTGGCTCAGCTGGTGGTCCTTGTCGCCCTGCTTGTGGCCCTCGTAATAAAGCTCGCGGCCCTCATAGCTCCGAAGGCTCTCGTACCTGCGCCTGTGGTCCTCGTAGTTGAGCTTGCGGTACTCGAAGAACTGGCAGGATTCCTGCCAGCTCTGCCAGTGGATATAATATTTCTGCTCGTGGCACTGCGAGCCTAGGTTGTGACCCTCGTAGCTTTGCAGGTGGGCCTCGCGGCTCTGACGGTGACTCTCGAAGCCATGCTCGGGGCGTTGGTAGCTGAGCTGGTGGCTAGGGTAGATCGCACGGTGGTCCTCGTAGCCCTGTTTGCGGGTTTCGTAGCTCAGCTGATGGGTCTCGTTGTTCTGCCTCTGGCTCTCGAAGCCTTTGCTACCCTCGTTGTTCGGCTTGTTGTCGACATTTTTGTGGGGGCTTTCGTAGCTCTCGCGGTTCAGCTGGTGTCTCCGGTAGCTTAGCTGGTGGTCTTCGTAGCTCTGCTTGTAGTCATCGTAGCTCCGCTGGTGGCCTTCGTGGTGCAGCTGGTGGTCCTCCTTGCCCTGCTTGCGGCCCTTGAAGCTGATCTTGCGGCCCTCGTGGCTCAGCTGGTGGTCCTCGCAGCCCTGCTTATCCCCCTCGTAGTTGAGCTCCAGCGGCCAGGAAATAGTCGAGCAGCACGTCAGCTGGCCCCGAGGGCACGTTTTGCTCGTAGTCCTCGAGATCCGAATCGGAATCGTCGGCGACCGAATCGTTTTGTTCCACGTTCTGAATCTGTATTTAAACCTAGCGGTCGTCGTAGCCTTGCGGCCCGTCGTACTCCTGGAAACCGGAATGCTCCTGAGGGTCGAAGAAGTACAAATCGTTATCGAAAAAGCTGTCGTAGTCAAGCTCGTCGTAGGCGGCGCTCCGTAGTCGCGCTTGGCGTCGGCGGCGCAGACGTTGTCCACTGGTATCTCCACGACGACGCACTCACTAATCCCTCCGGGTTGCTCGGTCGCGTGGCTCCTGATGTCGGTATTGGTGTCGTGATGATGGTGGTCGTCCTTGAGCTGCATGTTACGCGGCCCGTTCTCGCACGGGCTGCCTACTACGCAAGTCATTATCGCACTTGGGCCGCTGGTTACGCAGCTCATGTGCGGACGTTTTTGCGAAGGCGGTCGTAGCAATGATCCTGACGTCGTCGGGGCGAGGCTGTATCCCATGCTGGACCCTCTGCCCCGCTCGTGACGGGGTAGCGTCTGGTCACGCCCCTGTTCCTGCATGCTTGTATGGTCTCAGTACTATTGCCAGTGCGTCTCCACAAAAGGGGGTATGCCTCGTAGCCCTCAGCCTGTGCACCTTGCTGTTCTGTCTGTGGATATTGGGGTTCAAGCTGTAGGTTTTGCGGCTATGCCTGTGCATTTGAAGCAGAACCTGTAGACATTGAGGTTCTGTGTAGATATTGAAGTTCTCCTGTAGATTTAGCGGTTCAGCCTGTAAGTTTTGGTCTTGTTCACGGGGCACGCGCGCAGCAACCGTTGCGTTGGCGCGCTGAGGCCGGCCCCCCCCACGGGCGCGCGCGCGCGTGGCCGGGCGTGGCGCCCAGGGGCAAATGCGGGGGGTAGAGTACCCGCAAACGGCCCTCCTCCTCCTCCTTCTCCTCCTCCTCGGGCTCAAGACTCGAAACGTGGCGAAGCCCGCGCGTGGGGGCCAATTCCAAGCAGAAACCGGAACATGACGACGACGAGGTCGACGGCGGCGATGCGCGGGCGACGACGAAAACGAAGACGATGACGAGGACGACGAGAACGACGACGACATCATCATCATCGCGCGGCCTTTGGGCGACGCTGGAATCCTGGCCGTCTGTGAGTACAGCAGTTATCAGTGAGAAGCACCTGGCACCAGGCGTGCGAAGCGACTGGAAAGATGGGAAGTACAAAATCGTCTAGTCTGAAGGCGCTCATTTCACTGGCCAGTACAGCATACTGTTGGAAGCTCGTAATAATCCGATTCCCATCTGGGTCCGCTTTGGTCTTCTCGAAGTTCCGGAGCTCCTCCGTCCCCCACGCAACCCAGTCCCTCTCCGTGTCCTTCCACCGTTCAGAGTCCCTGGCGAACGTCTTCCAGTCGGCTCCAAAATATTGATAGAATTGTTTCTCCCACCACCATACATGAAAGTTATAATGGTGCCCCTGGCTCCACAGGGTCCTCTCAAGAAACTGAAGATACGCATAATCTTTGAACGAAAATGCCAAAGCGGCGATCCGTGAGGGGCCATAAGCCTGCATCCTGGCAACATGCCCAGCCCAACGATGACCCAACAACAATACGTATTCGTCCCAAGGTACGATTTTGTGCCTCTCCAACTGTTCGCGCAACGTCCTATTCGGGCGAATCATGTAGTCCGCCATGGGTTCTGTGTCCGTCTTCCGTACACCTAACATGTAGCGCAGCATCCTGGTCTGGGCGGCTCTCATTTGCCCGAGGTGCTGCGTTGTAGAATTCAAGCTGCCGAAACAGAAAAACGCGGCTCGTCGGACCACCGACTCCAGGAGACCCAACCGCTTCCCCAGGTTATTAGTCTTCTTGTTTCACAACTGAGCTCGATGTTTAGACCAAGCGGCCCAAGCCCTACGAATGTCCCTGCTGACTGCTGCGGAAGCACTGTTGTCCATCGTAATCCAGGCGCCCAGCATGCGGATACCTTCTCGACGGGCACTGCGTGTGACGAGACCCGCCTCGATGCGCAGCTGGGCGCCTGAGTTGGGGGCCGTCGTCATCCAATGGCAGTCCTACAATAAGACCGTGTACTCGCACTTCCGCAGGATGCGGTGCAAAGCGTTCCACATGGCTGTTAACATCTGTGGAAAGCTGGCAAACAGGTAAACACTGTCGGCGAACACGAGTAGTGGCAGGCGCTCGATCGCCAGTTCGATTTCCCCACCTTTCGAATACTGTCCCAAAATGGCCACACTCTCGGGTTGCAAGGGATCCCCCCATCCAATTTTCACACACAGTTTATAAAACTCGTGAACCGCGTCGTCCAGGAAGAGATTAAAAAGACGAGGGGCTCCAGAGTCACCCTGTAGGAGAGAGCGTGTCCTAACCACTGCACGTGTCGGCATTGCACCCGGCAAAAAGAACTCGGATTTGGCGGCCCTGAATTCACGAAACCATGCAGCGGTACATATTCGAGGTATCTTCCGTTTTTCATGATTACGAACGATGTGTGTGCCGTACGTGATCATATGTGTTGTGTAAGTCCCCCTCCCCAAGATAAAGCGGTTCTCGAAATCCGACGGCGCGCTCGTCGGATTTCGAGTCCGATAAAACGGTTCTCGATCCGATGCGAGTCGTCGCTACAACCTCATGAACTTGAAGCCCTCGTCGGAAGGCGAACTGCAGGCGCGACAACGGCATAGAGCTGAGATCGATGAGCTCGCTGAGGCACACCGAGTACAGCTTCAATAAACTCGAGAGCAGTGCAATCGGGCGGAAGTCAGCGACGCGGCAGGCGCCATAGAACTTGGCAATGAGGGTAACCTGAAGTCGAACAAAAATCGGGTCCTGGCTTTCACTCGGGTGGTCCACCAAACGCAGAACGGAAAGCTCGGCAAGGATATCAAGGGTTTCGGTACTCAGGTCCTGGAACGTGTCCATCACGATGCAGTCATCCCTAAAGCAAGTCTTCCGTGGTTCCAAGCGGGAAAACATTTGCGAATCAACTGGGCGTCTAAACGTTTGGGTAGCAAGGAAGCCAAGCATCCGGCAGGACGCGTAGGCAGAAGAGAGCGCGATTGGCTACTCGTCGTAAGAAAGAAGCATGCATGGGATGCGCCGCGGAAACATGTCGTTTCAGCACGCTTGGAGGAGGCAGGGGGGGAGAGGGGGAAGGCGCGGAGGGAAAGCTCGAATATCTGCAGGTCCCCAGCGTTGCCATATTCAGCGAGGCAAAGACGGATCTTCAGGATCCATAAGTTGCAACTCGTACAAACGTGCGACCTCCTCCCTGATCTCCTCTTCGTTGGTAACCATCTCCCCGTCCTCCTTTTTGATCGCCTTCACCCTGTCCTGACCCCTGTTCATCTCTACCTTCCTGTTGGCGACAAAATACTCGGCGCGCAAATCTAAATTGACGAAGGCCTGCTGTCTCAACAACGAGACGAGCTGCAAACTGAGAACGTGCTTAACGGACTGATCGTCCTCGAC